CCCCACTGTATATATATATATATATATATATATACTGTATATATTCATATTCCATTTCTGTCATGACAACTCTCAAAGGGATTGGCATGGTAATGAACATGAGATTGTTAATGTGTTTGGTCTTGGCGGAATAGATCTGCAATGCTGCTGCAGCAGAGCAAGTACAGAGACTTGCTACTGCCAATACATTCACAACATGCTGCTGTGAGCATGTAAGAAATACTGCTGCTGCACATATAACATATATGAAATAACCCCCATGGCATACATGAATCACTCCGTAGCAGATCTATACAGGTGGAGCTGGGGAAGGTGGAGGGTTTCTGAAGCGCGCTGCAACCGCTACAGTAAGCACTAGCCAAGTATTTTTTAAATGTTGAGCAGCAATCTCATTGGCTGATGATACAAAAAAAAAAAATCAGCTGCACCATGATGTCATTATGTCAGATTGAATTGTTTGACCTACCTTGGAACTTTTGACAAATACATTTTAAAAGTACAGGACATGTCAGTATTTCACATCAACTCCCTATTTGCAATGATATTATTATCTCTTGTTATGGTTGCTTCTTCAATAGGTATAGTGAGATATTTTTGCATGTTTTGTTGTCAGACTGGTATAAAAAATATTGAGCACAACTCTTATCAACAAGCAGCATCCAGTGCCAATTTATATCCCTACGTTTAATACTTAGGTTTTTTTGCTTAAATCCCTAACCATAAGTATATGAGCAATTTGCCTTATAAAGCAGCACTAATTACATTCAAGCCTACTTATGGAACTGGGGGTCTTCCATGTGGCTACGATCCAATGCCAGTCCTAATGCATTTGCAAGAAGATTTTTTTTTTTTACTTTAGAAAAAAAACTGTGTGGTAGGCACAAACTAAAATATGCCGCTGACAGTGATTCAATGCAGAGGGAGTCAGTGTGTGACTCCCTTATAGAAATTAGCCAGTCTTGCATTTCCAAAGGTTTCCCAATCACAAAAATCATTCCACTGAGAATTACTCAAACTGACCCCCTTTTTTTGTCTTTGCTAACCGGACCCCCCTAGTGTAAAAAACCTCCTTGAATATCTTGACATTTAGAGAAATCTTATCCAGAGCCGTTTACAGTACACTTAAGAGCACAATGGTGATTTTTTCAAATCAGTCTAAATCAATACTGGACTTAAACACAGCTCAGTCCAAGCACCTCAGACCTCTGCTGGATTTTTGCTGCCTTTCTTCTTCATGTCGACAGCTTCAACTCCAGGGAACCAGGTGACTAATCCTAAAAGCTAATCAATAAGAATGGCTAGCGAGCTAGCAAACCCACTCCCGTTAAATGGATTCTTCAGACGAGAGGCATGGGGTAAGCAGTACAGACGCTGAAAAATATTGAATAAGATGACGCAGAGAAGAGCAGAAACCTCTAGCTGAGTGAAGCAGCCGGTGCATGCTAAAAACCTCTTATGAGTGCTTAGACACCTGCTAATCATGCTTTCATATGTCTGGGCTGATATATGTAATATTCATGTAGTTTTAAGTGTTTCATTGGTCACCACCACCTTTTTGTCAGCAGTATATACACACACAACGTTTGCATTGTGAGGACTCTCTGAGATAAACAAAATGAGAAAGACACAGAGCCAAAACCTCATCAAACCAGTCTTTGTACAGCAAAAATAAACTAAATGGACCAAATACACACCCAGATTTTGTGTAACACACTCAAATACATGCAGGCACTGTAGTTCGCCTTGAATCTGTCAGAAAAATGAGTCACCAGCCCTACAGGGCATCTCCTGTCAGTACCAACAGGAATGCCACCGCAAACGCGGATGAGTCAATATTAGAATAGGGTAATCTACTCCGAAATTAAGTTTGCTGTCAACACAAGCCGCTCATTGCAGATTACTTCTAAATGAGTCTCTGATCTACTGCACACTTATAGCAATCTTGTTAATTTCATTCAAAATCAGAGTATTGAGAAATCATGAAAGCTTTCAAAAATATATTCAGGTCACATTTCAGTCCAAATTTAAATAGAAAGAAAATTAAGCCTTTCCTATAAATGCATTATTTTATTAATAATTTTTATTACATTTTTCCCCCCATTATTTCTTTATTTATTTGCATAATTTGTATTGCATGACAATTAAACAAAGACATTATATATATATTTATATATATATTTGCACAATGCTTATACATTGTCATAGTTGTTTATAGCTTTTAATTTATGTTGATTTAAATAAAAGAAATATTTAATTTTATTTTATTTAATTATTTAATTTAATTTAATAAAAACTGCAGGGTGTCCTTAATTGTCAAGAAAATAATGCATATTAAAAAAAACATTAAACAGACTTTTTTCGTTATAGAAAATACACTCTGGACATGATTTATATGATTTGCTCATTAGAGATAATCAATTAAATTCATGAAATGTGGTAAATTCATAGGTGTTGTAACACCTTTCACTGCAAGTATCTTCTTATCGCCATCCGTGTGCATAACATCACTGACTGACACAGATGCCAGGACAAACAGTTTCAGCAAATAAACAAAGCTTTATTTTTTCTCTGTGTGTGTTCCTGGCATCTGCCCAGATCGCTGGATTACCAAAACCTGTTCACGCCTACAAGCCACTAATGAATAAACATATTTCTGAAAACGAGATGTGAGGTTTTCTCTCTATTTATGTCTGTCTTTTTCCTCCCTGCTTTTCTTCTCTCTCCTCGTCTCTCTGCCTGACTTGACTTCAAAAAGGCATTTGATTTCTGTTTGCTACTGTGGGACTGGATGACTTTAATGCGAGAAAGAGAAAAGCAGCGTTAAATTGCGATGAAATCAGTCTGAGCAGCAAATATGAGCCATTGGGGCACGATCTGCTCGTGATAGCAAATGTGAGTTTGTTTGCATCTGCAGTGACTCTGAGGGTTATTTAAAGACTCCAGCTTTAGTGCTGAGCGCCTTGTTGTGTATGAATCTGCATATGCATGTAAGAGAAAGAAAAATAGGTGTTTTTCTTCACAGACATAAACTGTGAATCTATGAGACTGGAGAAACCATGTCATTGCTTCAGCCTGTATTAAAAGTACAATGCATATATTTTCATCAAAGGGAGATTTCCGTTCTCATTCAGTTTTCCAAAAATAAATGCAATATGCATTTGCAATGTATATTCTTAAGCACTACTGCCCTCAGAGGAAATAAAGTAGCTGCAACATAATTCATGATCTTCCCATTTCCTTTTGCACCCTGTTTCTGACGTACAAATCTATAAATTGATGAACCATCATTTACTATGACACATGAAAGAGGCTTCTTTGATTTCCATACTCAGTATGCAGAGAACTCGTTAATACTTAAACGGCTTTAAAAAATACATCTTTTCATCTGCATGACTGCATTTATACTGACAATATTCATGCATCCTTCAACTGTTGCACTTCCCATAAAACAGGTGACCTCTTCCTGCTGCCTTCCTATGTTTATTTCCATGCAGAAATCATTTTATAGCTTAACGCTTTACTTTGAATACCACTGGTGTTTTTGTGTTGTGAACCGCAGCTTACTATTGCTTTTATCATTATATGGGGCATAAACCTTAAGCATAAGCGTTCACACTGACCTGGAGGCAGGTAGTTGCAGTAGCCACTGGAGTTCACTACAATATTCGATTTGAAGGTGGAGTCAAACTTGTCATCTGCACTGCAAATGGAGAAAGGGTGCATATATTAGACATTTTATGTTGGGTATCAGGAAATATTACAAGCCAGATTCGAACAATGAGCACCAAACATTAATGTTCACATCTTTTCAGACCGATGAGCAATGATTGTAAAAACCGACGCGTTTCAGAAAGGCGGGGCATAGAGGAGAAACAATAATATACAGTATGTGGAAAATAATGTGTTTTTTTAACCTTAAACCGCATAAACACATTTCATTACACCAAATACACAAAATAATGTTCTTTTTAGAAACATCATATGACCCCTTTAAAAAATACTAAGCCACAGCTCCAACATCATTTTTTTTTCAAGACAAAGACATGATTAACATTCAGAGACAGCGATAAGGACAAAATCTTGATGCAAATTTAGGTAGTCTTCAGATTAACTCAAAGTGAAAGCTAAATATGAGAAAAGATTATTGTGGTTCATAAGGTTATAACAAGGTAGGAATGAATAATGTCCTTTTCAAAAATTAGCTTAAGGCCATGATTAAATGTAATGTACAACTAAGTAACAAGCTCCCAAGTGAATCAGCTCTGAATTTAAAAAAAAAACGGGAAGTCAACAGCGAAGGATGTTAATAGGCTGTTTGGACACCAGCTCTTCGACTAAACGATCTGCTTTTGCCCAAGGACCAAATTTTCAGTTCATTGATCTGTAGTTGCTCTTCTGTTTAGCCCCACACTTTGAATTATAGCCCCAATACCGCAATCCTCAATCACACACGCACAATCTAATGTCTGCTGATTCTGGTTCCCAAGGATTCTTTGCCCAAGCACACACGGATAACTATTTTTGATGTTGTGCTTGAAAGTATATCATTTCACTGAAGGATTGTCTTCTTATAATCACTGTATGATTGTCTGCATGATCACTGTAATTATTGGATTTCAAATATATTACTTCATATCTCGTTGAGGGATGTACCATATACTTGCTTCACTTATGTTTTTTCCAAAGTGACTTACAAATGAGAAAATAGGTACTCAGATACAAGACGCAAGATGGAAATATATCCCCAAAAGAAAAGCAAAACAAAATCATCTTACAAAGTAAGAATAATACTATTCAATGTAACAATATGAATGGAAAAAAATCAGTAATTTCAGTAATACAAATGCTTATATACCTATTGTAGAGCAGGATGTCTGGTGTCCACACTTGGTCTGTGGTGAAGCGAAGGTTTTTGACACCTGGGTACTCAGATTGGTTCCACTGCAGATAATGATCAAACCAGTGCTGAAGAATATATAGAAAAAGAAATGTGTCAGCTGTTTCAACACATGTACATGTATTAGTATGCTTTATAAGGCCAGATTTAATAGATTTAATATTTTGACTCATGACCTTTAAAAAAAAGAACAAAAAAACAAGGTTATAGTGAGTGAATGGGGTAGAAATTTGGAGGATTTTTTGAGAAATGCATCATTTTAGAAAATACATTAAATATGTTCAAATTCGTGTATTATTTGAGCTATAAAGCTGTTTAAATCATCAATTTTAAAGTTGTTTTAAGAGTGACATTGTCATGTCAGCAAAGTTTTGTGGCTTTACTATTAATAGAGTGAGTACTTTAATATTTATGGATTGGCCCCATTTACTTCCATTGTAAGTGCCTCGCTGTAAACCAGATTGTCCATCATTTTCTTGAAGAAAAACGACAAGTGGAAGTTAATTTTGTGGTAATCATCATCAGATCTGTACTGAACCCAGAAGAACTGATGTCATAGATATAATGATATATCATTAGGTCATTTATTTAAACAAAAGACTACTAATTACTAAGATGTGGCTTACCATGTTAAGCCAGATATTGGAGGTCAATACTTGATTTTTCTCATCCTGTATGAGCAAGAAAAGTTAGAGTTAAAAACCAATTGTGAGCTTAAAGATAAATGTCACAGAATGACAACTGTAAATAATAGATAGATAGATAGATAGATAGATAGATAGATAGATAGATAGATAGATAGATAGATAGATAGATAGATAGATAGATAGATAGATAGACATGAATATACTGTACAGCCCAGAACAGAGACTTCAAATTAAGACATTCATTCACTGAGCCGAGATAGAATGATTGACAGATGGAACGATAAAACAACAGACAGTCAGACAGATAGATAGACAGACAGTCAGACAGACAGACAGATAGACAGACAGACAGACAGACAGA